CTGTACGACTGTTAATAATATGGATAGGAGGTGCCTTCTACAGACCAACGGTTAGTGCAGTCGGAATCGATTTGTTGCGATGGAGTCCGATCCGTTTGGTATTGCGCCTACGTCCGATATTTTGAGACGGTTTACTATTGTCGCAATGCATTTGGTTAGAGTGAAAACTTAGGAAACAAAAGTTGTATGATTTATTATTTTTAAGATTGAAAAACTGATTTCGAACCTCGAAAGTAAGATAAGTACATTACATTTTGTAAGTTAAAAATTGTCAAAGTTGAGTTTATTGTTTTTTTACCACTGTCGAGACATTAGGGTCCTTAGTTTAAAACTGACAAGTTTCTTTGTCGTATCCTTATAGCCACTGATATGGAATTATTTTTTAAAAGCTGCAAGTCTGAATAACTTAAATAAATAACTTATTGTACACGACTGATGACTGACAATATTAATTCATGTAAGTAGCATATGTATGGGTATAATATTTCGAGTAATTTATTTATTTTAGATTTATATGCTTTTACATCCTCTTTAGATAAAAAATGTTTGTATGATTTTTTTTATGCCTCGTAAATCTATAGGCGACCCTAAGGTTTTTAATATTATTGCAAAATTAATTAACGTTACAGATAATTTGAGCTGTATATGCTGTTCTAGAAACACTGGTATAAAACTACTTACAATAATAAAAAATAATTATTAGATACCTAACTATTGTTTATTAAGAATTACAAGTCAGTGACCATTTGTGGCTGCCCGATGTCATAAATTATTATTATATTATTTGGCTTATGGACATACAAGTTATATTATTTTTACTTTTGTGTACGTATACTTGCATTGTCCTTTGGCGTTTTGACACCATATTAAAACATATCTGTATAACGCTCTACATAACCAGTTCCAAGTCAATGTACCAATGAACTAAATATGCTTTAATTGAAAAACCATATTTCTATATAGTCCATAGGGTACCTATTATTGTTATTATTTAATATGTTAGAGTATTGGTAATAGCGTTATATATATAAAAAAAAACGAGTTTAATAAATAGAAATATTGATACAAATATAATCATTTAAAACATCTGCAAGTTATACTCTTTAGGGGGTTTAATTTTTTTATCTATATATTATCGAAAAACCAATTAAACTATTTTCATTTTTTTAAAGACACGTAATTATTTTTATAATACCTACACGATTTCCAGCTACAAAGTTCCATATTTTACATTAGAGAGCTGAGAATCCTAAGTGTATGTGTAATATTGTAATTTACATCTAAGAAATAAAACCGTAAAATGAAATGTTATTATTGCACTCATCATCGCCCATTGTTCATGTTGAAAGTTGTATAATGTACTATCAAATTACTTGGTGCATTAAGGACTATTCTTTACTTATGATATCATAACTTGTAGACCTCACAGAAGACACGATATTAACAATTTTTCACTAAAATAGATCAAAACGCAGTGTAATGGACTTTTTGTAAGTCGTCGGTTAACATATATTATGATTGCATAGTTAATAATATTTTCAAACGCGTGAAACATATTTACGTCGCGTTTATTATAGCACCCCGAAGCTAATTGATGGCTTAATTTTTTTTTTTAAATTATGGCCACTCTATAATAATAATGAATAAAAACTGCATTAGCAGTCAGAAAATAATAACGTAATCACGAACTCGTTGCTGCAATTAAAATCGATATCTAATGTGACACAGAACCATCGATCAACATTATTTTCGAAAATCTTGTATCGACCAATATATAAATATATAATATGATGTAATTGCATATTGTATCAGTAAGATAGTTTGAAGTTTAAATGCTTCCCTGTGCTAACGAATTGGAAAAACTGGAATACAAGTTCGCTCTTAGCTACAATAGACTTATCAGCTTGAAATGTTGCATAATATTACTGTTTTGCATTACCAATGTTAGAGCAATTATTATAATGTATAGGTAACTATCAAGACTTACTAGATATTTGTTACGTACTTACGCAAAATGTGAAATATAAGTATTATGTCTACGCTTCTTGGGTTACAACAGAACAATAATATTTTACGTTGTAGGCAATTATTTTCATATTTATAATGTGGTTCCGACTATTATTAATCGGGTAATTCATGGATTTAAGTACCACAATATTAAGAGATATCAAGATATTTTAAATCTTCAAAATACATAATTTAAAAAAACTCATATTTTCAAACATTAAAAATAATTTTCTTTGTAATACTACCTTAAATATATTACTATACTTGTTAGGATATGCAATTGAATTCCTATGAAGAACAACTTATAACATCTCTATAATCTGTCGTTGTAAAAATGTTGTTTAATAAAAACACGAGCAACGTATCCATACTGTCATATTAATATTCACTTAGCACATATTTTGCTCTAGGGTATACAGGTGGTAAGTATATATCTTTTAAAACTAAAAAATATAAACAAGATATTGTTATATAAATTGTTGTTATACAATAAAGCTGTTTGAATGTTAATATTTACAAATGGAATTGAGATGAATATCGTAAATAATATTTACAAAAACGCATGACAGTTGTAGGTATGCAACCGTGCATATATCCCACGTTCAGAATATATTGCAGTTATTAATTGGTTTATGTGATAAACTGTTTAATAATTATAATTATGATAAATATTATAAAATACAAACATTAATTATATAAAAACGTGGTGTAAGTTTTTCAGATATCATTATAAATGTTAGTTGTGTTCGTGCATGTACTGTGTACCTTGAAAGCTTTTTTTTAATATACACTAATCATTAAATAAACCGGAAAATATACGATTCTGATCGGCGATGGTGTAAAATAAAAAAAAATATAAAATTATGTAATATTAGATCTAGTTTTTATTGGTACTTGGACCATTTTTACAAATTATAATTGTTTGTTGGATTGAAATTAATTACTACAATTAGTTTTAAATCACCATTACGCTTATATTTTCCGAATCCATTATCATGGACCTATCCTATTGAAACTATTATCTTTAGTGCATAAAGTTAAATAACTCAAAAACAAATCATTTCAATTTTGATTTTGATACGTCATATTTTTCAGACAAATTATCCACTAAATAATTTACAGAAGGAAAGGGGGAAGAAGGTTCTTATTTGGAAAAAAAAAGAAGTTGTATATTCACAAGACACTTCTCAGGTATTCAAAAAAATCTCAAGAGTTTGAAATTATTTAAGTAAATAATATAGTATAAAGTATAAAGTATTTTAAAAGTTCTAAAAATCAGATATTGATATTAACCGTATTATTAAAAAAAGGGGCTGAGCGCAAGGTGAATCCCCTCTATATTAAAATTGACTTTTGCGCTTAACTTTAATAAACTCTTAATGTTCTCAATAATTTTTCAAATTCAAATATACGATTAGTTGTTATCTACTTATTCACTGTTCTATGAATGAGAAAAAAATGTATATTAAAGTATTTTTTGTTTAATTATTTCCGAACCTTAATTAATTTATGAATTTTAATTAACAGACGATAGTTGTAATACACTTATATTTAATGATACGAGTATAGTTACAACTTGCAACTCTACGAGATATGTATACGAATATAATACATTTAATATTTAGAGAATTAAATATACGTAATTTTTTTCATTATTTAAGTTTTCCTGGCGTCAATCAATAAAATTGGGTTTATACTTTATAGGTTTAAAATTGTTAACATTTTTGTACCAGTTATCATTGGTTACAAGATTACCAGGTAATAGTTTAACAGACTGCGATTATAGGTTTTGATATTATTTTAACATTATTTACAATAGACAATTTGTTACTCACGATTTATTTTATTTTATTTAATAAAAAGCATCACGGTGACGACCTCGTTGGAGTCTGTGACTGTTACAATGGATACCCAACCCGAAATGTTGTTCGTTTCTAGCTTTGCAAAGATGATTGAAGAAGCTTACCGTTAGGTTCTTGATGTAGAAATATAAATATTATTAAAGTAAACAATCAGTTGAGTATGATAAAATGTTTACATCTATTACATATTTCAACAATGAAATAACGATTATCCCCCAAACTAAATTATTCTACAATCTTAGGCCCTCCGAATTTGTATCTGCCCTATGACCTGCGAGTCTTAAGAACGGGTCTAGTGGAGCGCGATGGCAATACCTGGTTAATTTTTATTAGGTACAATACGTTGGCCACAAACATAATATAAAAGTACACAATCAACAAACAAGTTATTCATATTTTATATTATAATAAATAATATATTATGCTGGCTAAATAATATGTTTGTTATTCATTTTCTTTTAATATAAGAAACGAACCATAATATACCTATTATTAACTGTTTGTTTAAATTTGGTTCAAAATACATTTACATAATAATATAATATACATCAGTTTTAGCTTTCATGAAAAATATTTATATTTTTCCTATTAACTGTTCTAATTTGTAATTTCTAAAAGTTTTCCAAGATCCTTTTTAACTTTTCTAAGTTTTTTTTTATTCGCGAATTATTTTATTTTATTTTTAATATACATCACACTATTTCAGATTCATAAAATGCACACATCAACGTCATCAACAATGAATTAAATTATTATCAAAAGATTGTATTCTTCAGAATACAGATATAAAATAATTGTATGTACCTACCTCAATGTTTCTTCACTTTTAAGCTTGATGGAAAAGTTATTGAGTTCAAGTGTAGTAAGAAATTACTTTGATATAAGTCTTAAGACTAATTGGTCAGCAAAGTTAAGCTAAGTTGAATGCCTAAACCAAGTGAGATAACTTCTTGCATTTTGTAAATATACGTATTTAGACATATTAGGTAGGTATTATAAGTATAACTACTATTATTAAGTATTTTTAGTATTTATTGTAATTTGTAACGTAGAATACATCCCTGTATTATACTATTCATATCGCGTAAAATTATAATTTTATTGAACATTGTCCACCCCTTCACGCATCACCATTCAATCACCGTGTCCAATGCATCACCTATTATCGCCGGCCGACACCACGACATGTACACAGAAACACTTTATTCCAGAACCGTAAAAAATTGTACAAAGAACTTTAACTGCATTTTAGACTGGTCCAATGGAGATTAGAGATGTTCCATTATCTATTGTAATGAGTGGTTGGCGACCTAGAAACAGGATATTGGCTAATCACTAAATGATGATAAATGCAATATAATATCTGATAAGTGTAATCATAATAATAAAGTTAGTTTTAGGCATTAGCCTAGGACAGTGTTGAATTTAAAGTATACCCATTCTATTACTCACAACATTTTTTACAGGTTTCTAATAATTCGAAACTCGAAATATTTTAACCCATTTTTACACTTTGGACTCATCTACTTATCTACTTACTTATCCTTGGACAGTAATGTAGGTCCTTCAGCTCCTGCTTCCCGAAACACACTAAAATCCAAAGCTAGTAAGCTGAGAATGGACGAATTCCGTGCTGCGACAAAAAAAAATATTATAAATTAAAACCAATAAAAACCTATTAATTTTCTAATTTGATATTTATTTATTTACTTATGAAGATGTAAAAGTTTTAAATGCAGTTTTCCCTGTACTTACCAACATAAATGAGCCAAGCGTTCGTTCTCGCTTATGGTCTGGATTAGGCCTATCGGGGACACCACAATTTATAAAAAAACGCGCCTCGTGTAATACTTCATACTTTTAAACAACATGGACGATATAATATTATGACGCTTGACAAGCAAAGGTGGTGAGGAAATTTGCACAGCACTGTCGTCCTACTCTGAGTCCTTAAAGTTGCGATATACCTTATAATAGGTAAGTAACAATAATATTTATTTCACATAAAGTTACTAATACACGTAGATACTACGAACGGCCATAAGATAATATTAATATAATAAAATTAAACAAGCTTAACTTTTAAAAAGAGAGAGTTCGTTCGTTATATTACAGTAATTTTACTGTGTAAAAGGTGATTATTGAAGGTAAATCCAATATAAATAATTAATAAATACTAATCATCATAATCTTAAAGTAGGTATTTATTATGCGTATAGTAAAATAGTAGTTACATTTAGGTATATTTTTATATGCATCTACTATGTATTTTTTGGTGTGCATATCTCTTGAAACTAGACATCTAAAATTAATTTATTGAGCTTAGTAGGTCGATATTAAATTGTTTTGTTATTATTTACATTATAACTACGTGCATTTTAATTAATAATTCGCAGATTAAGGAAATGCCTTTATTTTTCTGCAAACAGAAAACAAAAACAAACGAATCTGCCTAATATTAACAGATGGTATAAGGTAAGGTTTTTAATGATCAATAATATTAACAATCATATTTCGATGACACTATACAATTTAATTGGTACATCTACCAATATTATCAGTTAATTTAACAACGATTTGTTTATCAACGAAAAAGATATTGTTTATTCAGTAATGGATTGATGAGTTAAATATGTCTGTGTAAATTATATATTACAAAACCATGATAACTGTGCTGAATTAAATTCAGTCTTAATGAATATCGAGTGCATTATAAAATATATAAATGATTGCGTTTTATTGGTAATTAAAACATAATATTTTTAAATCCAAAGTTCTTCAGTCGAAACTCTATTGACTGTAAGTAATTAATATTCAACGAGTCTGCAGGTATATGTAGACAATAGTCATACTATAGGTATTTGTTGAAAGATAATTCTTTGAAGAATTTTAAGTTATAAATAATAGGTTATTAATAGGAAATCAAACATTGATAATTTTAACGAATAAGAGGGGGTTAATATTGTTATAGTTTAAGTAAAAAAAAAAAACTAATATAAAAAAATAGTTGTATAACAATATAATACGTATATTATAAACATAGATGTACTCACAGTTTATTGAAACTTAAAACATTCTCTATTCCAAAAATAGTTTCGCCGCATAATCATATCCCAAAAAATAATTTTATAATAAATTACGATATTTATTTTGACATAAATTTAAAAAAAAAAACATTATAAAGTTGTTTATAATATTTACAGTAAATTTAATCCGAAGAACACATTAGTTCAATTTATTTAATTTATTTTAAAGTGGCTTAATTAATTTAGAACTTTATTTTAATATCAAAACTATTGATGTTTCATCTAAAAAAAATAGCTATTAACTCGGTCAAAATGGCATTGAAAAAAAAAATAATTTTTATCAATCTTTAAGTGATTTTAATTAAATTGTATATGTATATATTGACATATATTTATACGCAGTAAGTATTTACTTTATTCAATTGTATTTGTACTCGTATAAAAAATATTGTAGTTGACTTAATCAAAATACTGTTTTTTTTTTGTTCAATTACGTTCAAAATAATCTCACTGATGAAATAGTTATAAATTCCTGTATAATATTTATGGAAAGTGATTCACCAATCAAGGATGCTCATAACCTTTTATCTTCAATAATTTAGTTATTAAAAAACTGATTTTTAGGTATTTTTAAATATACTTACAGACCAGAGATTATTTTAATTAGGTACTTAAGGAGTGTACTGTGGGGACACAAACACTTTTGTTATTAAAATGAGGACTCCATTTTTCCATTGTAAATTATTTAAAGGGTATTTTGTCTGAAAATTAGAACAAGGAAGTTTTGAGTTTTTAATTTAGCGTAGGTACTTGCTAAGTATAATTGGTCCATGCTCTATAATAATGTGTTTAAGAAATTATCGCACAAATCTTAGTGATTCGAACATTTAAGTAATTAATAGTAATACATCATAACAATTATAGAAACAATTGTCCAAGTATATGAAATACTATTATTTTAGCTTAAGACAATCACAAATGCTCACTTCCACCCAGTACTAAGATCTACATAGTGGAAACTTATGCTATATTCGAAGATCTTAAAATCGCTTGCTCAAATTCTGACTGTTTCATTATCATAAGTGATTTTTTGAGCACCATAAAATTAATCTAATATCCATACTTTAAGAGCAAAATAGTACAGCACATTCAATAGATGACAACCACTAAAACAATCAATTTCGTGTGGTCCCTTCCCATTTCGCTATTCCTGGCAACGAATTAGCGGATAAAATCTCAAATAAAGCTACACTTCCTCATAATTCCATATGTGAGCATGCTTGGCGAAGTACCCTGTATGTACTGTCCACATAAAAACAATATGACAGGTATTCCAAAATATTGTACTAGATACATTGGACATATAAATAATTTTCGGTTTAGCGGATGAAGTGATACAATTATATATAGTAGGAATCTTTTTCGTGTCAATTATACATGTGTATAGCTTCAACTTAAATGTGTCAAAATTCAAAAATTGTAATTTATGTGTAGTAACTAATAGGTAACTAATATTTTACTTTTTAGGTATTGTCAATTTCATGAATTGTCGTATTATATGAAAAAACTAATACCGTGGACACCAATATTCGTTAAAATTACTTGAGTACAGAGTTTCAAAAGTTTGTTTTTACTAGCAGAACTATGTATTGAAATAAGCGTGTGTGAGTATTTTTTTTCTTTTCATTGACAATAATATGATGTATGCTAGTTATAAATATAAAACTAATGATTTGGTTGTATAATTAATAATATTAAGCTAGTACCTTTTCTTCTACGATTGCAGAATGCAGATGTTATATAAGTTTAGTCAAGTTGTCTAGATTATTATTTGAGTTACCTCATACCTACACTATTAGTAAGAAACACACGATTATAATAGAAGATGGAATATATTATTTTATTATTATGATTTTAACAACTAATCTGCATCATAGACTTGTGATTTTGACCGCAGACATGACTCGTTAGTGATCTATATCGGCTATCTGGAACTGGTTTTTAGATATTGATCAACATTGTAAATTTTTATTAAAAGTTTTTAAAACACGATTAGATTAATAATCGCGATAATAAATTTGTTTTAGATTTAGTAGAAAATGTACCCAAATTTTTAAATCGTATCTAATTTGCATAAACAAATCTCAGAAATGCAACGAAGTACATTAAATATGCAAATGTATGTAAAATACAGCTTTGTATTTTGTTGTGTTCGATATTCAACACATATAACACATCTGCAGTTCAGTCAAAGTATTATAATATGATGATTTACTTATTTACTATACACGTATAATATGTAAAACCAAGAAGTTCCGCGAGCCCTAATAATGATTATGAAACGTTAGACTTTCACACGCAATACTATGAAAATAATTTACATTTTTTTTACATTCTAGTAGAAAAAAAATAAACTTCGAGGCGATGCAACTGATCATATATCATATCATATGTTTAATATATCGCTTACCTAACTTAATCACCTATTACGAACCCTTAACTTCATAAATTATTCTTAGTCTAACCCGACGTTTCTCACTTCAAACAAATTATTACATTTCAAACCTTTATTAATTACAAGTCACGAATTTTAGTTTTTCTATACATTACACAAACAGAATAAATGGGCTACAAATTATGTATGGTCATCAGTCGTAACGATAGTATCGATCCAACAATAGTATCCACAATATACATCGAATACACAAAAAAGCGTTTTGCAGCAGATTATATAAAACCAAATTTATGGTTCAATTCAATTTATGATGTCAAACAAGTTTGTCGTATTTATGTAATGACAACGAACTAATTTAAGAGTTCACTAACTTGTGAGTCGAGCATTAACAGTAGCGCACTATGATATAGCACGCCTCGAAGGCCGCACGAAATTGTAATTTATTTTTTTTATATTAAATATTCCGATCATTTTAATTTTAAGCACTTAATCAATGTTTATAATACTCACGAATTGAATTCATCAAAATTATTATGTTTGCTCTATTACAATCTAATGGGGTATTTAGTGAAAAGAAAACCATATCGTTTCAAAACGAATCAAGATTGCAGTCCATGTTTCGTAAACGCACACTTCAAATAATATTGTACCTAAGATTTATTTTCTCTAACACGAGTGACGGGATTAAAATTTTCTGATGTTGAAAAATCCTGTCACCAGTGACCTCCCTCGCGGTATACATTTACACAAATTTAACCATTTATCGTGTACTGCAAGAATACAAGACGAATATGAAAAATCACCCATTAAATAAATACTGACAGGCAAATTACGACCCGGCGGACTTGTAATAATTATTAAAAATACATAAACACTCGAGTAAACTTAAAATTCGTAATAATGTTACCAGAGTGAACGCATGAGTTCTACTCGAATTCGTAACAAAACGTAGTATGGATTTATTTACTGCTTTTAGTTAAATACACGTATAATTAAAACAAAAATAGATTGTTATAAGATGGTAATATATATTATAGGAATTGTGTCAGTATTTCATAAGCGTATATGTTACCTAATTTGGTTCTCGGTTTCCCCCTGCAATATATTCGGCGTTAAATATTGATTGATATTTCGAATTTTGTTTTTTTTTGTTTCTTGGTATTTGTTGCCAACCGCAGTAGTATTTCTCTAACTTATTGATTATGGTATTATAATACAGTAATTTTATATTATTCTAGGTTTTTTTTTTAACTATTCTAGGCTAATTATTGTTAATAATATTTAGAAATTATTATTTGAAGGCTTCAAAAGTCTTCACCATTAAGTAGTTTTAAATTCTATTGTTTTTTTACATAGATTATGTGTACAATTTAAATATATTGTATATTTAATTTGGAGGGGGGATATTTTGAGGAGGTATTTTTTGCCCTATAATCACAAGCTTATAGAACCTGACATATTATATCGCATGTTGCTGCTTTTAAGGATATTGCATGGATATTTTTATTGGGTCATTGAGTATATTATGTATGTACCTACTACTAAAGTTAGTTTTTGATATTATTTTAAATTTTAAATAAGTATGACAGAAATTAGGACACTACTCTCCAAAACGACCTTCTTCTTTTCACCTAAATTAATAAACTAGTTTAATTTTATCACCCAATATTTCGTTATTGTATAGTTTTGGCCCTCGGTTTTACGTTCAACATTTCGGGAAACATATTTTAAAATAATTTATGTTTGGTTTTAGCCTTTAACTGATTATGTACTCTAATACCTAGAAAGTTAGTTCAATAATGTTATTGAGCATGATCCAATAAGCACCACTATTATTGAAAAGTGATGTTTATGATAATACAAATATTTATAAAAGAATAAAATATTATGCATTGATATTTGATCCTAGTCTATAGATAGGCATTTGTAATCATTTGTCACGACGTCGTTAAATTTTGTTGTATAATTCAATGCCATTTAATAAATTTAAAAAAATCATACTGGGTTAACTCTCATTTATTATGTTGTAGGACTAAATTATCTTCGTTTTTCAATTAACTTTATTTTACTTTTCTATATTTATAGAAATTTGTTGTAAATGGAAGCTATTTCATTTAATAGAAACTTACTTTTGGACTTATTGTGTTAAGTGCAACTTCTACCTATTAGTGGAGAATTTCTATAAAAACTTGTGAAATACAACTAGTGAAATGACTCACACGCATTTGCTGTTACTTATATACACACAATATTGTCACAGTCCATAAACACTATTACATGAGTAGTTATGACATAATATTTTTTGTTTATTCGACCCATAATTACAATATATATCACATGGAAGGTTTTAAAATAATTTTAATAAATATAAAATAAATACATCATTACATTTTAAATGTAAAATAATTTGTGGAACGAACACAATTATTATTATTGGGCCAAAAGAGGATACTACTTTATCAAGAATAGAAGCAAAAAGAAGTAGTGGTGAAAGGAGTACAGTCTAAAAATTATTGAAGAGTGAATTCAATTAGATCGTCGATCTAGTTTAGGTGTAGCTTATAGAGATTATATTAGGCAACAGAGTTAAATCTTATGTTGGTTTTATTTTTGGTTTGTTCAAACTTAAAGTAAAAACTTTAAAATTATTATTAATAACATTGTGTTTTTAAAAGTTTAAAACAGCCAATTAACATAGTCTAGCTTATGAAAATATTTTAAACGCTATTATGAACATGTTATACTGAATATTCAAATGGACTAG